GGCTGTTCCCAAATGACAGAATCCTAAATGAAGAGAATATGTTAGTACGACGGAGTACCTGCCAAAATAATGCCAAAATCATAAACCAAAATCATAAAAAATACCTTTCCCTTTCTGCTTTACAACAAAGAGTAAGCAGTCACTATCACAGTCGAAATCAATTCTGACCAATTCTTGTGTATCCCCACTCGATTGACCCTTGTACCAGAGGCCGCGTTTCCTGCTCTGGTACACACCAGTGCCCGTCTTCAACGCCTCGGAAATACTATTTTCACTGCTGTAAACCAGGCCTAATGCAATTCCCCTCTCATCCGTCACTACTGTAGTATAGAGACCTGTAGTAGCGTCTGGGGTGGCCCTTGCAACCAGAAGCTTTGCGAGAGAAGATGCGTCATCCTTATCAAGGGATATGGCTGTTGATGGAACAATATTGACAGCATTTTCCGCCTGACTCGAAATCAAAGTCGCCTGTATAGCCGCCGCGCCGCCGTCATACGACCGGTAAACTTCCTTGACAATGCCTTTATCACCCAGTTCTGACACGAGGGCATCTATGGCCGGAGAAAGTGCGCAATGGACACCGATATTCCTCCGTTCAACACTCTCCGCAACCCAGCTCTGCAGCTCCGTAACCTCCTTCGCAGATGAGAGATAAACGATTAGCCTCGACGAGGGGACCGCCTGTTCCGTTGATAAGGTGTCCAATTGGGCTGGCGTAACCAAGGCTTTTGACGCGCCTGCGTTGAGGATGTCAACTACGTCCCCGGCAGATTCGATGGCAGTTGCATCAATGTAGATATCCAGAAGAGAAGAGGAACGTCCAATAAATGCAATAGCACGATCCAGACTACATGCTTTGAGGAGAACTCGACCGAAATAGGAGATCTGTGTCAGAGTGAGACCTGTTGCGGAGGCGGGGGATGAGAGGGATGATAGGGTTTGCGAATCGATCGACACGAGGAACGGGATCCCCATGGTGCGCTGAATTTTCCTGGTCGAATGTTTGCCTCGTTGGGCGCACACGGCGGAGGAAATCTCTGGAGCGATTGGATGGAGCTATGAGGGCAGCGATATGGGACTTGACAGGGAGGTTGATGGTGAGGCGGGGGTGGGAGGTGGGATGTGGGATGTGTGTCATACAACAAGATTTGGTGGAGGGGTTGCAAACTATTTAAATAAAGCTCCGCCGCTTTTCGGAGTCGAACACAGCCACCAAGTTAATTATTTACTAACTTGCTAAAAAACTCGGAGATACGTAGATATATTCATTGCACCTTAACCTTTAGTTTCTTATACGCTACGTATGACCACCTGTTGAATAATACAACAGAGCTGCCTGAGTAATCTGGTAATGTATAGTACCTACCTCTCTGGCGCTCTGTATTCACCGTCTTTTATAGAGCACAATACATACATATAATAGTAGTAGCTGTCCTACGTTTCACAGATACCTGTTCAAAGTGCAGAAGGTCCGTGGAAAGCAGGCAAACTGCTGCAACGACACTGGTAAGTCTTCAGACAATGGGTTCTTCTATCAACGTTTGCTAATCAATTTCGCAGGATGTTGGCTAAATCCCTGGTATTCGCGCGGAGTACGGAGTATCAAGTAGATCGAAGCAAGATCAGTTTCCACAGCTTGACCTAGTACTTTTATATCAAACTTTTTGGAGTTGTTCAAATCCTTCGAGCCACGTTTGAGGCTTCCAAATTTGCAATTATTGCCGGCTTGACGGTTTACTGGTTGATTCCCTTGAAGCAGTTGGCAATGCGGAAAAAGAATCCTGCGGCACGAATCCTACGATGTACGATGGACGGAGTACGGAGGTTGAGCTGAACAGCTGCCGGTATATTGGCAAGCAACTTTTACCGGATTGGAGTGAATAATACTTCAGCTCCAGGGTTTGCCGTACAAGTAGCGACTAGGAGACTTTTTGGATGCGCCTCCTCCGAGTCCAACGTGGCCAGGATGTAGCAATTGTATCCAACTTGTTTTCCGACAACATGTGGGAGAACACAGGCCGCTCCGACATTCCTGCCGGGCGGCTTCCTGGAACCCGAACGCGAATTATTGTCGCCGCAAAAACTAATGCGTTGGGCTTTGGCCCCCGGTCTCCTTTTTCCGACCATCAGCTTTGTTAAGCTAGCGTGATTGATAAGCTAACATGACAGAAGCTCCTCTCATGGATGGCGGTGACTATTTCCTATTGTAGGTTGTGCTTCCCGAGTAGCTGGTTTCATAGATGTATTTAAGAAACCTGCCAACCCCGGCCGTTTATGATATGTTGTCAAGAGCAGCAAAAGCAGTTTACTTGGTTCGATCCATCGGACATCATCATACCAGACTGAACTTCTCAAAATTGACGTACTTGAAAAATTACTTAGCTTTCATCTCCCGCTCAAAATAAGCAATGACGATCAAGCCCATCATTGTTTGGCTGACTCGTAAGTCAAGCTCTAAGTTGTCCTTGATCAGGTATAAATGCCATTGTGTGTAGACTGACAGCTGACTTGGCTATTAAAAAAGCCTCGGGTCCAAATCCGTGGAAGGTGAGTATCCAACCCTGCAATTAATCATCTCAAGAATCATGATGTTTCAGGGCTAACGAAATCTCTATGGAAAGGTGGTCACGATTCTTCATGAGCTTGAGGTCCCTTATGTCATTAATTCATTCAAGTTCGACGATGTCAAGAGGCCGCCCTTCATCAATGTTAATCCTAACGGTCGAGTTCCGGGTAAGAAGAGCCAGATACAAGCCCGCTCGTTCTTCTTTCTTGCTAGAAGCTGAGTTGGAAACAGCTATCGAGGATCCAAATACCAGTCTGACTCTCTGGGAGTCCGGCGCTATTGTGCATTACCTAGAGGAGGTATACGATAAAGAGAAGAAACTGACATACGACAGTCTGCATGAGAGGCATCTGCTAAATCAGTGGCTTCATTTCCAAGTCAGTGGTCAGGGCCCGTACTATGGGCAAGCTGGATGGTATGCTTCCCAAGCAATTTTCCCGTCCCACCATGAATATTCACTAAGGGCTTCTTCTTGGTCTGCAGGTTCACTGTCCTTCACCATGAGAAAATCCCCTCAGTCATCGAGCGTTATCAGAATCAAGTTCGCCGAGTTTTGGAAGTTCTGAACGGTGTCCTTGAAGGCAAGCAGTGGCTTGTCGGTGACAAGTGCACCTATGCTGACTTGTCCTTTATGCCTTGGAACAACCGCCTTGACTTGCTGCTCGAAAGCCCGGACCCCCTTGCCCCGTATCCGAATGTACAGGCATGGCAACGCCGTATGGAGGCTCGTGACTCGTGGAAGAAGGCTATGGAGGTCAGGAAAAAATATATGAATGAGCAGGGCTTGCAGGCAAACGGAATGCCTTTGGGTATAGATAATGCCCAGCAGTATGAGGAGCTTATTGCGCAGAACCATGCAGCGGCGGAGGCTGCGAAGGTAAAGGCTGCAAAGGCTTAGGGGCTAAGTTTTCTTTCTTTAATTACTGACGAAGGATGTCTTTCCTTACCTCTATATACATACATTTTGGTCCACCTATACGTCATGGTGCACACTATGAATAATCTTTTGTTCAAGGTGTATGTAGCGAGTGCATTTGTTGATTCCTATGGAGCGTATATGACCCCTCTTTTGGCAATACCTAGAAATGAGTGAGATAGGCTTCCTATCGTCCATCCATCCAATTCATATCCTGACGACACTTGTTCATACCCACTACCTAGTACCTACCCAATGAAAAAAAGCCTGAAGTAGGGCGAAGATAAATGTCTCCACCACTTACATATCGCACTCTCGTTCCCGTTGCATACTCGTGTGTCCAAATCTTTCTATACTTCGTTGTTCGATTTGAATAATCATGGATGAACGAGTATATTCCCGTAATGTACTGTAATCCCTGCGCAACCCTTATTAATATTTGTAATTATGCAGTGAGTTATCCCACAGCCTGGGGGGAATACGGGATTAGGCGCCGGCCCAGAAAATCATATAGTTCGGCATGCCGAAACTTGAATCAGCCAAAAATCGGCGCCTAGTTCAACTCTTAACACCCTACTAGATATACATATTTAGCGTTTTATTTTAGTAGAAAGTTTTCTAATAGGTATTATAGCCGCTAAATTGCAGTAACTGATTGTGAAAGAGTACTAAATCTCTTTCCTATACTAAAGTACTCTTCAGTGAGTAGCTCAGTACTCACGTAGTAAATATCCCGCGTCGTAGTGCACTGGCCCCGAAATTGCAAATAGGGCTCCTCCTCCTAGCTATAGTAGTGAAGTATTTTCAAAAATACACGGAGTTAAATATTGTCAGGGTAAATTTGAATTCCGCAGAGCAGAGAACGTGGAATGGTTGGATCGCAGTCAGAACTGCGGGGCAAGGAATTGACTGTGGCAGCTACTCTGGAATGTCTGACTCCGTAACCGGTCCTGCTACCTCACGCTAGATATCCCTAGTTTGAAAACTTATCCTTGACATAAATTGAAAGACGCTTATGGTTCTCAAAACTATTTTTAATAAATTAACGTTGCGTGCAAGGTTGTTTTGGACGAAAAAACTGAATGTGGGGATCATCGGGAATACCAATTGAGGTAAACCACCTCATGTGCCCTTCTAAACTACCCGATTCGGCGAGAAGAAAGTGTTCTGGATTTCTTTTGCCTCTTTTGCCTAGTCCAGTCTTGCACGGTTGTGGCGCGCTGCTGGGATGATCGGCAGCGCTTCGGCCTAGCGCCGGCTGGCTTCCTTGGCAGATGATCGGTCAAAATACGCTATAATGTCAAGCTTATTGCACGGCACTGAATAACAGGCGAACTTTCGGATGTTCAGAATGTCTAATTGCACATGATTATATGTTTGATTTATCTGGTTGATTTGGTATCAGTGACTTGAAGATAATCACCAGTTTCCGATTGCAAGGTCATGTTCTCAGCGTGGTACCGTACCGCCTCCTGACCAAGGACAGGAAGAATAGTGAACGAATTTAACCAGAGGTTATTAAAAGCTGTCACGCTGCATTTCGCTTTCTCGCATCCCGAGCTGTAGTGCGCCATGTGCCGTATCCCGAATGGTCTCGAAGCTGAACCTTTTACACTCGATGTTACCCTCATCTATTTCCATGATTAACCCTTCGGTGGGGAAGAAATCCCGATGGCGGCTCGAGTGATGCGCCCGGGATTGGCTGACAAGATCCCGACGAGTAATAGTAGGGAAACTGCAAAGTGGATTTTGAGGCGTGTATCATTGCTGAGTGTATACCAAAGTTGAACCTCCAGGTAGGATCAAACTGTGCGTGCATATTTAACGAGCGCGGTTTCGACAGCATTTGCCCAGTTGAGTTGTTCGAAGGCAGAGAGAATCATGCAGCAGAAAATGTAAATAGTCATGTGCGACTTGACTTCCTGTCTAGGCTATCCAGACCTTCTGCCAAGTCCACAGGAATTCGTTGTCTTCAAGTTGTTATCTTCATCGGATATGAGGGTTTACCGTCAAGGTGAACGTAGGGTGTGTGGTCTCAACTAGTGGTTGCAGCTCAGGTCATGCGGCTTGAGTCAACGTTTTCATCAGACTATTTGTTCGTCGAAGCATCGCCATTGCTTTCTGTAGTAAATGAAAGCTTACTGACTGAAGGTCGGAAGTTGGTGGTCTCGATATGCACCAGGCTGCTGCTAATTGTGACACGAACCTCAGACCAAGACCGGGAGAGACCGACTAGGCCGCTATTCTAGATTAGGCATAGTTAGTTATAAGGCTCACCCTAGTTACCCACGTGAGAATGCTTACTTTTCCCCCTGAAAATCGCCATGAAATGAAGCAGAGCAGACTCCCTCCCTCCATGAGACAATCTCAACTCGCTCCCGTCCCTTCCTCTACTTCATATGCAACCGCGTGGTGAGGTGCATGCACGGCACATGGTACAAAATGAGACTCACTTACATGCCGGACATTGTCCGCAACTTCTTGACGAAACCTTCCAGTGTTTCACTAGCCATGGCCGTCTTCCTCTTCCTGGACCACCATGCAGTTGATGCCCGGCTTGTAGCTGATCAAGGACTGATGTTGGAGTGTTGGAGTGTTGGCGCGGGGCCGATATGCGGGCCTCTACCAATGTTCTTGCACGGGTGATGCTAGATATCGCATGCTCACTGCTGAGACCGTTGTGACCAGCATGATCTAGGCAGAGTCCAGGTCAGGAGAACAGGTCCTTGAGAGAAAATGGCTGCCGTATCTCTGCGGGTTAATACTCACCCTGCTGGTACATTTGTAATGTACCTTTCTTTACTCGTGGTGGCATCTGCCAGTCTGTTTTATACATGAGACCAAGGAAGGCGCCAAATTGCTCTCGATGTGGCTGGCTCCTGCCAGTTCATTTCGTGCTCGGCTCTTTTCAGATTTCTCCTTTATGATTTTTCATTCTACTACTTCACGATTATTTTTAAACAAGTCTTCACTGTTTTGGGGTAGTTGAGGAGCTTATCGTGACGTAATCTTCTAAGATGCGGCAGATTTCTTTCGGGGTCTTCTTAACAGCGTTCGCCCTGGTCCGATTCGCAGTTTCGTCCCCAGTACTTCACAAAGAGTATATCCGTTTACAGAAGAACGCGGATAGAGCACAGGAGGTTAAAGACGCATTTGAATTTGCTTGGAATGGCTACATGGAATATGCGTTTCCTCAGGATGAACTGCGCCCGGTCTCTAACACTGCAAGCAACTCACGGTTTGTGGATTCCTCACGTCTAATCTTGCCTCTACCTCAGAGATTAATGGCTGGAGCAGAAATGGCTGGGGTGCTTCAGCCGTCGATGCCCTTTCCACCGCGATTATAATGGATAGCCCCGACATTGTCAAGACGATTCTAGCGCATATCGCGAAGCTTGACTATTCGAAAACGGACACACAAGTTAGTTTGTTTGAGACCACAATACGCTATTTGGGGGGAATGCTTTCAGGCTATGATTTATTGAGCGAGAATGATATGGGTCAAAACGCAAGTATTCCGCGGCTTTATAATAATCTGCTCTCGTTTATTCAACTGCTCTGCTGATCAACCTTTTAGCCTGACCATATCGACTCGCTCCTAGCCCAATCTCAAAATTTAGCAGATATCATGAAATACGCGTTTGACACTCCAACCGGTATCCCGTCGAATAATCTGCGCATAAACAACAAGACGATGGTAAGGCCTATATATCTCCACCCTATTTAAGAAGCTATGACTTGATGACTCTGGACGGGACGTGTCAGTCATATAATTCGGCTTTGTATTTTCACGGTCGCCACAAGCGAGGGATGAAGGGGAAATAACTAACGTCGGATAGGATGGCAGGACCTCGAGTGGGATTGCGGAGGCTGGAACTCTGATACTTGAATGTGAGCCACCCACAGCCCTTCTGACACAGACCATACTTACTCGACACAGGGATGCACTTGTCCGATCTTACTGGTGAACCAGAGTATGGCGAACTCGTCGCGAAAGGCGAATCTTATCTCCTTCACCCGAAGCCACCAGCGACCGAGCCTTTTCCCGGTCTTATCGGTTCAGATATCAACACAACCACTGGATATTTTGTGAATGCAGATGTCAGTTGGGGTGGAGGTGCCGATTCATTCTATGAATATTTAATCAAGATGTTTGTTTATGATGAGACTCGGTTTGAACTCTACCGAGACAGGTGATAGTCCCCGTACCCTCCCCACATTGACATTTATGGCCTTCTTGCTAATATTTAAGCATGTAAGATGGGTTCTCGCGATTGAATCGTCGATTGAACATTTGAAATCTACGATATCTTCGAACCACGGCGAATATACTTATCTAGCTGGGTTTAGGAACGGCAAACTTGACTTTACTTCCCAGCATCTAACTTGCTTCAATGGCGGCAACTTCCTTCTTGGTGGTCAAGTTCTTTGTCGCCAAGATTTTATCGACTTTGGCTTAGAGCTCGTCAAGGGTTGTTATCACTCGTATCATTCAACCGCTACAGGAATCGGTCCAGAAGGGTTCGGTTGGGACCCGAAGAAGGTACCGGACGACCAAAGAAAGCTTTTCGAGGAGGAGGGGTTATATATTACCCATAGCAATTATAACCTCAGACCTGAGGTTATTGAAAGCTACTATTATGCGTACAGAGTGACTGGAGACCCCATGGTAAGCGAAAATTTTGTTACCCCATCGCTGTCTTCCAACTCTTTATATTCATAGACAGTTAACTTTTGAACAGTACCAGGAATGGGTATGGGAAGCCTTCGAAGCGGTTCGCAAGATTTGCCGAACGGAGTCTGGCTTTACCTCAATTGGCGATGTAAATAGTCCAACTGGTGGCAGAAAGTTAGATTTCCAAGAAAGCTTTCTCTTCGCTGAGGTCTTGAAATATGCCTACTTAACATTTGCTCCGGGTAAGTCCTTAACTCGTTGTTTCAATGCAAGATGTGCTCGTTTATTTCACGTTAGACTTCACTCAGCTTCCCGCGCCTTTCCTGCCAAATTCATGTATTATGCTTTGCTAACGACCCTTACAGAAGCAGATTGGCAAGTAGCCGGCAAGGGAAAGAATAAGTGGGTTTACACTACCGAAGCCCACCCTTTAAAGGTCCTGACGAAAGCATAGACTTGACCAAGAGGAGGAGGGCTCTCTATACGGAGGTAGAGGACAAAATGTAATATTTTCTTCTTAAACAAGTGCCTATGTATGCAGGTTGCAACACAGCTGCTGTTTCATGGGTTTTATTTTCTCATACCCAACTCCTAAACTTGCGGGAATTCGGGAGACACTTTTTGCCATTTTCTTTCTTGGTTATTTGAAGTATGGGTGGAGTACATTAAAACATCATGCTTCATGGATTGCTTTGCAGTGCATTTGGAACAGAAGCACCAAACTGGATGAATTATGTTTATGAAGTAAAATGGGAGAATTCCTGCCCAAAGCTTAATAGTTTTTGAAGTAGTAGTGTTCTAATGGACAGCTACCTTCTAGTCTTAATTCTCTTAATATAACCTTAACTTCACCTACATCAGGGGCTTGAAGGTTCGCCCTAGTTTAGAGGAGAGAGATAGATACCTTATCAACGTAGGCTCGGCAGTTGTAATGAGTCGCTCCATTGCTGATATTTTGTCTACTGCTGTTGTACATGTACATGTACATGTACATGTACAATGAATGCGCATCCAACCAAGGACCCTTGATGATTTCCCTTTGTGGAGTTCTAAATGGTGGAAGATTAACTACATACGATTAAAGAAATGGCAGTGAAGTGCGCATACTTGAAGTAGTCAGAGCTTTTATCCGCAAGGTAAGTGTGAGCCCTTGTCTACATATTTTTAAATTGATTTACAAAACTTGGTCACGAAACGGGGGCCCTAGAAACGTGACGAAGAGGTAGATTTCATGAGCACGTAGCGTAGCAATTAGGGCAACCATCCAAGGGGTTACGTGAAGGAGCTAGTACAGTCCGTATAGGACCGCAAGGGCGTTCTACTTCTAAGGAAGGAGTTATTTTCGTCGTCTATTTGTAATAAGTAGGAAGGAAGTATTATAGGGTAGCAGAACTGATGATGAGAATTGTATTGACACAAAGCTGAGTTAAAAGGTGAAAGAGATGAAAGGGAAACAAACAAGGTATCAACAAATCCCCCAACTTGTTCATGACAGGCTGTAAAGCTTCTACTTCATTTTCCTTAGTACTGTTATCAGCTATACCCACAAATGTTTAATGACATTGTCTTCCCTCTTTCCACTCATTCTTCCCAAGCGGATGACCAAGCTCAGCTTCGGGATCTGCCCACGGTTTTGGCCATAAATAAGCGTCCTTCGGAAGCGGCATTCGGCTGAACTTCCCAACATCAACGGCATGCTCCAGGTTCCACTTCATTATGGCATCAAAGTCGCGGCATTTGTGGTTGATACTGAAATCCGGCCAGAGCTTTCCGTGGTCTCCTACCCAAGCGACCGTTATCATGTCGGTGTTCCCATAGCACTTGATATTCTGTAGCAGCATATCAACACAATGGCCAATGTGAACCCACCAAATCTTCGAGTATGCGTCTTCCGTCTCTACTGGCGTATAGCCGGGGTATGTTGCGAAGGCTGCTTTTCGCAACCTGTTCAGGCAGTGTATTTGCTGTTGTTGATGTTAACGATATATAATGAACACGCGATGCACTCCACGGCCCTAGTTACCTACGTGGAAAATATCCAGCTGTGCCATATACGCATCTTGTTCAAATCCCCAGTACTCGTCGTCGAAGCGTGCGACAGTATCAGGGTCCTTGCCTAGTTTGATAATATCATCACGCGTGACGACATGTGTGCGAATTTTCTCGAAGACTTCCCAAGTGGCGTCGTTTTCTGCACTGGGCTCCTGTCGTGAGAAATCGGGATCGGGAGGGGGGAAGAGAGTCCCGTTCATTCGGACAGTATATGTTGGGATTTCGATCTCGTCAAGAACCTTAGCTATGTATGTAGAATTAGCCTATATATTCAGCCTGAAGTGTGCCGGGGGCTTTTTACCCACACCAGTATGAAGTTTGTTTGAGCGCTGCGTTTTTCCCAAACATCGGCGGGGATGAAGATATGCATAGCAAATACACGAAAACACTGGAAACTCCGATGATAAAGCCGGCCGCTGCTGAGAAAATACACTTTGTTCTTGAAGACGTTAAGTGATTGGGATAAGGCAACCTTTTGGTTAAAAGACTCTCTTCGGCTTCCCCGTCGTAGTCATCCAGTTCTCGATTGAGACAATTGAATCTGGATTGACCAATCCATTTTCTAAACATGCTGACAACCAATATCAGTTGGCAGGGTGCAAAGGCTGCTTAAGGAAGAGGAGGATGAGGTTAGGGAAAAGACTATATGCTTCATGGCTCAGCTGGTAGTCGACGACGACTACTGCTTCTGCAGGAGGCATTCAGTCGGCCTATTATTATACCCCTGGCGGTTTAACGTTCCTCTTAACTTGGTCAATCAGCCCGATGATGGCAAAGTAGTGAGGA